TGTTAAACTGTTACCTATGAATGTTTTATTGCATACTGCCAACAAAAGAGTATGATTACTGTAAGCTGAAAAGCAACTTCCGATATGCTGTGCGTAGCCCAAAAAATTTAAACGTATGCAACAAGTAGTCCAAAAGCCGAAGGATGGACAAAATGTAGTCAATTTGTTTTTCACGTACCTCGGAATACTAAGGGCCAATGAAGGATAGGCGAAAGAATGTCATGCGGTAAATTTAAAAAATTCGAGCCGATTTTCCGATAATGTTTGTATAAAATAAAGATTGTCCGAAACGCATAAACGGGGATATTGTTTTTCTGGACTGGATAGTGCCGTAGAATGCAACCCGACATGATCGAAACGGATGAAACGTCTTGGATCTCTCCACTCGCTTAGGCTAGTTAACATTGATGTTAACTAAATTTACTTTTGTTGTTGTTTATCACGGCACAATGTTCAAACAAATAATTTAAATATGTAAGTTTCGTGCAACCTCAGTAGTAAAACGTTGTCGTGGCGACGTTCGAAAATGCAAGCTGTGACTTCGCAGACATCACTTCGTCAATTCAGCCATCTCTCATTTCTTTATGACGTTACTGATTTTTTTAAAAATATATTAGTAAAAATTCAACGGGGTAAAGTAGTTTTCAGTGAAATCTGATATTGCTGAGCCAATTATCAATGTTGCGGTGAAGCCCGCATACCGGAGCCGGAGGTTGGTATTACGCGATAAAAATGACTTATTCAACTGGTTGTCCTAACACTACAACAAAAAAAGGTCAAGCAATATTTATACCCGGTTATTAAGCAGAATCTGGGCAATAAATTAAAAAAGTATGAACGAAATAAAAAATGGCTTTTTTGAGAAAATTGACTTCAAAATTTGCATATTTTTCATTTTTGTCTATATTTGTGGCAGAATAAAAACAACACGGTAAACACAATAACCAGAAAATACATGTCAATCGATAGCTTACATTGATAGCTACGCACAGATATCTGTCTCACGTCATTGCGCCCTACCGTTCGTTTTATATAGCTGTCCGAAGTTGCGTCACACTTGCTCTAGGTTGCATGTTTGAGATTTTTTAGAAAATTAATTTAAAATAACAGAAGACAGAAATTTACCTCTAAAAATAGCCAAGTCTGCGTAAATATTGCGTAATAAATATAATAATTCTGCAAGAATTCGATATTTTGTAAATGGCGGCTAAAGTCGAGATAAAATCAAATTGGGAATTTGACGTTTTCTACCCTGCAGCGCCTCAGAATTTTTTTCTCTCAAACTATACAATTCTAATTTTTTTCAAAGGCAGTTTCTTTCATCACAAGGATTCGGGTATCATATATATTTTTTACGATTAAATCTAAAGACCCCCCCCCGACAAGTTTGGTCGAATTCAAATGAAATCACCCATATATATTGCAGCACGATTTTTTATTTAGGGAAATATTTTTTTATGTACGAAGCTTTTTTTGTTTTACACGTGGTACAGATTGCAATGAAATATATTAAAAGGCGCGCTGGTAGCGCTAGCCGCAACATGTCCAGATGAATATCTAAAATTAAGTAATTAAATAAGCATCACAAATGTTCTATCTACGTCCTCAGAGCAGCTGTTCACCGTTCTACCACAATACACAAAACTTTTTAAGTGTAAGTTGCAGTAACTCGATGTAACAAGACTTTTTCTTGAACGCTTCTCCCTCGCGCCATGCTATCGATGACTTACGATGACTGGGTTGGGAGCGCCTCCCCGCGGATAGACGCCGCCTCCTTCTCTTTTTCCGATTACGCCCTCTCCGCAGTAATGGGACAGCCGGAGGAGCGTTCGCGCGCTTCGGGATCTCCGAGGCCATGCCCTGAGCTTCGAGAATAACACTGGACACTGGCAGGCTGACGAGGTGAAGCGCTGGCTGAGCCAAAATCGGCCAATCAACCAAATCTGACCGCCAAAAGAGACACGGCACGACGTTTTGAAACCCGCAACATATTTCGTGTAGTCACAAACTGGCTGTAGAGCTTGCATCAAGTCAGTCTCCCTTACGAGTTTGAAAACACGCTCGTACATGGCAAAGTCGTGGGGCATTTCGGACTTCACGTTCCGATCAATGATGCGCACATTAAACCATAACGTCGTGATGGCATCAATACATTCGATGTATTGATGCCAATACGTATCTCATACATTCGGACACGTTTCGATAGACACTGTCGTTCCACTTTTTCGCCACGGCTCTGCGGTACGACTGGAAGGTCAAAGTGGCCTCTTTCGGTTAACACCGAATTTTAGAAAATGAATTCAACATACTTTTATCGTTTTAAACCGAAAACGCCGAACCCTAATTATAGAGCAGGTCTAACGCAGAAAGCACTTGAGCTTTCTGCGTCACTGTTGGACGATGCCATGCCCCCACCCCGGCGGAGGACAAACACAAATCTCCAAACACAGCTAGGTGACTGGTGCACGACTACAATTCTTATTATCGTTCTTCGCCAGCTTGGTTGCACCTTTGCATCAATTGCATTATCATCACAAAGAAAACATGCATGGGTGCATAAATGATGTGTATACATGTAAAATGGGTCGTGGAATGGGGGATCGATGGCAGAGTGGGCTAAAGCGCGCACACCCAGCTCGACGCGCGTGGAGCGAAATTAAGCTCGCGCTGCAGAACCCAGAGATCCTGGGCTCGAGTCCCACCCCAGCCCGTTTCTATCTGGATGATCGTACCGGTGTGCTACTGCATGAGACCCCAGGTTAGCAGTCGTACTGCACTGGCAACATCACTCATCTAGTGTAAACCAGTGTCGCCTCATCCTGGCAGACCGACCTTACGCTGTATAAATTACTAAACGTCCAATTTGACTTTTTGACTTTGGGTCGTGGAAAAATTCTTGTACTTCCAGTAAATGCCGTCGATTTCTTCAGGGTCCCCGATTAGCTTGAAATTTTGCTGAACTCGCCAAACATCGCTAAAATAGTATCCCAAATATTAGGTTAAAATAAATTTTTTTCGCGAAGTTATCGAAATTTAAAATTTTGGTCCTCACCGTGTTTTTCAAACAACGAAAAAGTGACGTTAGTTGAAGTGCAGGGGTTCACTCTTCGGACTGTAGAATTTGTTCCCCACTGATTTGAAGCAGTTTCATGGTATCAAATGAAAGCTTTGGAAGCTCGCTCCAGGACCCACGCTCCAGCACGGAATAAATGATTGGCATATTCTATTTTTTCGACTGCTCGCTCGACCGGCAAGCCTGCCCGCCATTGACGTCACGGCATTGAAGAGAGGCGGGTATATTTGATTGTTGGTTTTTGCACCATTTTCATTTGCCGATTTTGCAATAACTATTATGAATTTCGCGATACTAAATAGCACACCGGAAAGGGTAAAGGCCGGGGAGTCAGAAAATATAGTTTGTTAAGGTAGCTCAAAAAATCGCCGGTACCCCTTTAAGAGGCAATCCCCGACGTTGATAACTTGCAAAAACATCCACCCGGTTTTCACCTCCGCGCAATGGCAGATGTAAAAGAAAAAAAAAAAAAAGCTTTCCCCTCCAACTCGTAATTAGAACAAGCGGCCACGTGATCCGACGCTAATTATATACAATCAGTGTTGATCATAGTCATTCGCTGGAGTTGGCCAAGCATCAGATATTGTTAGAGTTCAGTTATTATCATTGTTAATTGAACACGAGCCATTACCCAAATGTTTGGCAATGCTGATTGTCATGAAACCGGACACTCGACTCGGGCTCATGAAAATTGTGTACGTCACGGTGTCACGCGACTCTCTGTGCGAAGTCATGTTACGTCATGGTGTTAACGTTAATAAATCTAACGTTCTCAATTTGAACTAACTTCATGCAGTTAGTCACATGGGCACATGACGCGACATTACTTGTTAGCATGTCTTGACACCATGACATCATGGTTAATCATAGTGCCAATATAAAAGCACCATGAAAACCCACAATTTCTCATACATTGCCATTCTGTACATGACGATTTGATCAGTACATAGAAATACAGCTGCCAATTTTTTACTCCCAAATATTTATTACAACAAAGCTGTTTATGGCTACGTTTTCTTGGATTTTTCGTGTGCGTCAACAAGGACAACAAAAACTCGGGTCCCGACTTTGATTGATGCAAAATCACTTCATTTTGTGCAAAAGCTTATACGTCTCATCACTGGATACGGATTTTCAGATTAGTTATCAATGGGCACCATTTTCAAGCTCAGTAGACTCTCAGGTAGATAATAAAGGTTTCTCAAGGATTTGCCGCTGTGCGACCCACGTCGGCCATGTCTGCGCTCGCGCCGCCCTCTCTTTGTCGTCGTTCCAAGCGTTTGCGTGCCTAGTTTCCTTCCGCTCTCCCAAGGTGGCGGTCCCGTCGCGCGTGTCTAGTTTTTGCCGGCTCCTCAGGGCGGCGATAGTTCATACCTTTGTTAAAAATTCTGCGTCATGTCTGTGTCGTGTGCTAAATAGAATGGCTAATGATTTCTTTTTTGCGATTCTACTAAGAAAAAAGGAGAAACATGCCGTGAACCGTTTTGAACCCTTTACCGTTATATATTTTTTTTTTCTGGTTCAGTTCCGGCTTAGTTTAAAGTGGCTGCGAAGCTTTCGGTTTAGTTTCAGTTCGGCTAAAAATAACAGTTCGGTTCTGGTTCTAGTTCCACACCCTGATTGTGACTGACTGGACACCATTGCATCCGTGCTTGGGATCGTACAATTCTGTGCCGACATATAGGTTAAGGCTTGTGTCCAAACACTGCGACGACCAAAAGCGCCGAGCTCTAACAATGGCTGGATACATTTTTGACGCATTACCAGAAATGACGAAAGACATGCATGCTGAAGTATATTTTGGGGGAATAATATAGCAACTTGTTCCTCATTCTTCTGGTATGCGGCAATGCTTCTTCTAAAATCTGCGCCATTACACCTGTTGGTGCCACTGATTGTCAGCACTCGTAACAAACTCGCAGAAGAGAATGGTGTTACCTTTTATTTGTTTTTGAAACCATATAAACCACTGAATATGTAAAACTATAAAATGCCGAAAGTTGGATTTTTTATTGATGTTCCTGCTATGTACAAAATGAGAAAAGTGAAAAAACAAGACAAGCTTGCAGCAAATGAATGTGCAAAAAGAACTTGCTTAAAATGCGTAACGTGTCCTGATGTCCTCCAGTTTCTTGGAAACCTAAGGCAATAAGCGACACATTTGTTAGTCAGGAAGCTCACTTGATTTATAACCACAAACATTTAAGGAAGAAAATTTTACAGTACTTACTTCACTTGGATTTCTGTCAAGTTCTTCGGCGATACTCTTTTGCTTTGATGGGTCCAAAGAATTGAACTGCTCACAAAGGTCCCCATCAATTACATTCTAAAAGGAAGAGTGTAACTTGAAATTAGAATCCAATTCATAAACTTTCAACACAGATAAATAAAAAGGGTTGTTAAAATAAAATAATCTCCAAACCTTGACGGGAAAGTACGAAGACCTAAAGGACAAGTGATCCCGGCCACACAATGGTGGGTTTTCATACCGCATGTGCATCTCCAAGTGCTGGAAGAAGTCATGGTCCTGCAAGCCAAACAGAAGTACAGTCCAAAATCAGCCCATACTCCAAGTTCTCAGCCAAAAGTTTCAATGGGACATTCTAAAGGCCTGTTCCCACACTTGCACCTGACTATGACTGACCAAGACAAAATTGGTTTTTAAGCCTCTTGCGACGGTTACGATCGGCTGCGCAGCAATGCAGCCGGTCGTAAGCCATTGCAAGAAGCTTAAAAAACGGTCTTGTCCGAGTCGATAGTAGTCAAGTGAAGGTGTGTGAACTGGCTTTAAGAATCAAGAATGCACAAATTTATGTAGATTACTACTGCACATACTAATAGAGCCAAGGCATAAATAGAAGGATCTACGTAACTACCAGCTGTACAGTCTACCCAGTTTGTATGATTTGTAACTCTTATAATGATTCCATTGGTCGTTTTGGTGCACACTGAGAGTGCTCTTTATAAGGTCCGCATCCCCAATGGGCGATCAGAATAACACTGATGTCTTTTGCTTATCGTTTTGGAGCATTGCTGACTCAAGATCTGCACTAAATCGCAATCAGACCCGCCTTACCGAAACCGGCGTATTGGGCCAGAAGTTAGTTCCTGGGACAGATCTGTCCCCCTATACTTCATTTCAGCTTAAGTCCAGACGCAGCAAACGCTACGAGCAAATGGAACCAATGAAGCAACATCGAAAATGCATGTCACATGGCCTTTTCTGTTCATTATTATTTCAGCGAAGACAGAACATATACAGAAACATGACAAACACCATGATGGTGCTCTTTTGACGCTGTTCTATTGGTCCCATCAGCTCATAACGTCGGCTGCGTGTGGGCTCGAGGTGAAACGAAGTATAGTGCGCATTACATGACTGTCACAATTCTGCAATCTGCTGACAAACAAAGTCTTGATGTCAGCATGAAGTGAAAGTTCATTTGACGTGCTGCAATGATGTCCTACAAGACAAAACCCCTCCACCCGTCCGACAACATTGTAGCCACAGATACCAGGGGTGATGACACGCCAAAAGTAAAATATGAGATAACAATACTGCGAGGACCCATTATGTGTTCCTATAATCCTGCTAAATTTGTTTTGAGAATGGCACGACAGTTTCGTGGATAAATCAATTTATATGCGAGTCCCTTGGAGGGGCGGATCCGGGCGGAACTGAAGGCTGGCTAGTAGCCAGCCTTCAGCGCGGTGTCTCCTTGCACGCACTCACAGACTTGGCTCTCTTGGCATCTTGAGCTTCAGCTTCCTCGTTTACCTTCCAAGTTTCGAGGATGCGGTCAGTGACGATTACGCCTATGGCATCGCTCGCCTTGTCAAAGTGTTCGACATTGATCGCAGCAGCGATGAGTGATTGCTATAAGAGATGTTGGAAGCTAGTCATTTTGACTGCGACCCGCTGGCGACCAGCTCCAGCAACGACGAGTTACGGACGCACTCGCCGTGGTCACCGTCGTCCAGGAATATCTCGCAGGCGCATGCAGGGTGGAAGATCATTGGGCCGGGGGAAGAGCGAGAATGGCCTTTGGATTACCGAGTTGCGTGAGCGGTTTTGATCGTACCACGGCGAGGAGTGCTTGGGCGATCATGGGGGCGCCTAGAATGAGAGCGTTCATGGTCGCGTGGTTTATGGACACCATGGTGTGACCAACTTGGGCAGTGCTGTTTGGTCGCCAGATGAAAATGATAAAAATGTAAATTGAATATTGAAACTACCAGAGCACTAAAAATCGCGTAACTTGGTGAATATACTAAGTAGCCTATGAGCATTTCACTTCAAGAATAATCTATCCGTAATTTTCGTGTCATAACCCCTTTAAGACCGCGTTTGTTTACCTCGCTGACACTGGTTTTTCAGCCATTCACAGCCTTGAACATCACACACTTCCTTCCTGGTATGTGTTTCAAGCAATTACCGATGCATGCTGTTTTATAGAGTTGTGCATAAAGGATATAAATTTTTCATGTTTCCATGATCCGAGTGAGGAGAGTTGGTTAGTGCTAGTATTCTTGAAAGTTTCCTTCATCTATCTAATCTGGAAATTACATATCACTGTTGCAGTATCAATACAGAACTGAGATACTCAACTCCAGCAAAAGGTAGAAAAACTTTTATTCTTGATACGATTGTGTAGTGCTCAAGCCGACGTCGTCCCAGCACAGCACACCTCATCTCTCATTCAAGCTTTCGAGCCTCATCATGGGAAAATAAAAATAAGTAAAACTTGAGTCTATATATGTAAGTAAAAAAAAAAAAAAAAAAGCTTTTGTCCATTGGTCAGTTACAGAAAGAAAACATGCCACATGTTTCTGATACACGGCAGAAACGGCCGAAAATAGCATAGAATCGGCACCGACTTTCCCACTACAGGACACCATGTTTTTCGTTCTCTCACCTGGGGGCCGGGCCCCGTCACTTTCGAAGAAGGGGTCATCTACCATATGCGGAGTCGAAAGAGCACCAGCTTTGCAAGGATTGTGTGCACTGCCACAGATTTAGGCCATTGATTCAAAACGACCAGTGGAATTTGCCATTAGTGATATGCGAGGAGGCTCCTTAGAGTTTGCAGCCCCCGCTCACTTAAAAATATGCTGCGTTCATCGGCTAGACTGTTCTGACACAATAAAATTATTTAAAAGCACCGGACTATGATTATTTTTATTTAAACAAACTCTTACTGTGCCCCTTTTGCATTTGAAGCTGAAAGGCATTAAGATGATAATATGAATGGATGATGATGCATACCTCATGAGCAGTGAAAGGGACCAAGACACCGACGGTGCCAGAAAGTGTGACATAAACCAAGGATTCCGACCCACCGGGGATCAGAGTGGCCTTCTGGAGGGACAGCACAGTCTCCCCTATGTGGAAGTTGGAAATCACATCTGCCTGCAACAGCAATAATCATGTTCATTTGATAGAACAGAACAATGTGAAAACAAATTACGTCCTGAACATCTAATGCCATTCTAGTTTAGCCAAGCGGCCATACCTTTTGTGATGAGCCACCCAGCCATCCACGATCCCAGAGGGACTTGATTCCAGTGGGGTCCTCGTCGACATCGTCACTAATGCTACTGGGAAGCCGAATCTGCAATACCACATTGTTATCAATTATGGCAAAAGCCCCATAGCTCAAACCACAAAAGAAAGTGAGACAAATGAAAATATGAGAGAAATGGCCATATTAGATGCCTGGAATGTCTGGAACGCCCTCAGCCAGCAGCTCTATTCGGCTAAAATAAAATCGGGGATCCCTTGTCGCTGGTTCTTGTGCACCCTAATCGCCTTTGCAACCATGAGATGACTAAAGGGCTGTCTCAAATTTTCTTAAAAAGGTACCAAGCATAATTAAAGTTTGCAATATCTGTGATCAGCATGAGCAGTTTAGTGGTTCATCATCATTTGTTTTATTGAACCACAAAGAATGTGCTGCTTAGCTCTGGGTCCGAGTCCACGAAATGTGAGCAGGAATCAAAACCCAAGGTAAACTGAGAAGCGTGGGCTGCCACATTCCTCAGGTGTGGGTATGAGCTTGTGCGGTGAGCAGTTTTCTTGCAGTGTTCAGTTTAAATGTGTTTTAAAAGAACAAAAATAGCTTTTGGAACTTTTAAAATGCACTGAACCCCTTTGGGCTCTTTTTTTTTTTCTTTCTTCAAAAGGCACATTTTAGTAATTTCTTTTGTTTTTGCTTTTCGAAACGGATAGCACTAAGAATAAGTCAATGCACAGCATTTGCTCTTAATTATCTAAAGGGGGCACATACAGTGCATACAAGCTGTTCAGATTGAGGAAGTATCGAAGGGAAATAATTAGGGCAAAAACCAGAGGTACTTTACAGAACTTCTGCGATGGATGATGAGTTCTCATCCTTCGATTTCGATTCTGAGAAGCATTGGGAAGACTGGATGGAGCAATCCACACGCTGCCTCCTCCAGTCAATCACTTAAAGAAGCCCTGCAATCATATTTAAGTGTCTACCTTTTTTGCGGTTTCCACATAGCTTGGGGTTCAGGCAAGCCAGCGGGCACTGAGAGAGTACTAAATATCAGTGCGCCACATTTTAACCAGACGACGCGGAAACCTCCTCCACCTAAGGGGCAACCCGCGGTGCCGAAAGAGCGCGCGAAATGTGGACTCTTTGGTCCTGGGCTTACCACTGGTCAGAGCCGCTAAAAGCTTCTTTTTAGTTGAAATACAAAATATAAGTGGCACAAACCGTTTCAATTATTTATAAAAGTAGTTTTTGTTCAGTATTTTAAATCGGAAAAGAAACAAATGCAGTTTATAAAGTATGGAAACAAGAAATGACCCATCGACATACCCGCCACCAAGCGGTGGAAAAGGCGGCGCATACCAGAAAGGCGTTCTGGGATCAGGCACCGACGAGCGGCGAGCATAGAAAGGTCCCAGATGTACGCGGCGGCGTTGCGCTCGAGGATCCAACTGGTTCCGAGCGTTCCAAACGCCTTCAGCGAGAAGGTTTGGCTTGCGGTCTGGCCGTGAGGCGGTATGGCAGTGCGGAAGTGGCTCCTGTTCTGAACTGATTTTTACCCCGTGTTTGCTGTCGTTTGTGGCCAATGAAGTGTCGTGCCGAAATTAGTGTTTAATTGCGCAGCAAATGCAATGCGAGCCGCCCTGGCTGCCCAATTCATACAGCCTATCCAGAACATGCTTTAGTGGCACCCTCTCGAGCCGTCGACCGGAGTGCGGCAGCCGTGAGCGCTCGCTGAGCTCACTACCCCTCCTCTAGTTCACAGCCACCCAAGCGACCAAGGACGTCATGAGGATATTATTTTTTGCTTGTTTTAGTAATTCTAATTAGCCTATAACTTTTAAAGCGAAATTCTGGAAAAAAAGTTTCATTAAGTTACTATGTTCAGTGCGCTCAGGTTCGGTGCAAATTAAAAACCAGTAAAAAAGTCCTTGCAGGGCCCCTTTAAGAAAGGACACTACCCAAAAGGGTCAACTTTTGAACCTTTGGCTTAATATGAACGAAATTTATAGTATATACTGGCAGTTGAAAGGCAAGGTTGCAGTTGCAGAGTAAAGTTTCATCTGTGTACATGAATTCTAAAAAAAATTTGTTGTTTTTATCAGGTTACACTGACATTGTTAAGGAAAACTGTCGTTTGAAAACTAATGTAATACCCAACATTTGTTTTCACTAGATACATAGCAGAATGCCTGGAGAGTGCAACTGTGAAAACAAAGTTTCCAAAACACAATTTATTTTATGCTAATATTGCCCGTAAAATTCACATAAATTTCTTGCCTTGTATCTTGTCGACATAATCTTAACATCTCTTATAAAAGACATCCACAAAGTAAAAAAACAATGCCATAGCTGCATTGCCCATTAAACTCCACTTAAAGGGCCCCCTGCAACAACTTTTTTAGTGTATTTTATTCTGCACCAAACCTGAGTGCACTAAATACAGTAACTTAGTGAACTTTTTCTTTTCTCAAAATTCGCTTTATTTTAAAAGTTATAGGCATATTAAAATTACAAAAACAAGCAAAAAATAACCTCCTTCATGGCGTCCTTGGTCCTCTGTCCCCCCTTCTCTCGCGCCGGAGGATTCCCCTTGCAGTGGTGATTGAGGAATGTGGGGAGGGAGGGGAAGACGGGGAAAGGAAGTGAGGCCATGGAGAGAAGCTGCCCGGGAACGGGGCAGCTCTCTTTCCTCTGCTCACGTCAGAACCAAAAACGTCACGATTTCGTTACATGCCGCGCCCGTTCGACACCACGGAGCACCCCCCCATAGAAGGAGGAGGTTTCTGCATCGTCCAGTCAAAATATGACGCACTAATAATTAGTTACTCTCTCCGTGCGCACTGGGTTGCCTGAACCACAAGAGACGTGGAAACCGCAAAAAAGGTAGACGCTTAAAAAGGATTGCAGGGCCCCTTTAAGAAAAACAATGAGTGAGCTTTTCTTTTGTCCCGTTGCGAAACAATAGTTTTCCTAAAGTGAAATTTATGGCAAAAAGTGGAACGGAGAAAAATGTGTTCAAAGTGCTCCAACCTCTACATTTTCTTTAGCATCGGTGGTCCGAAAATTTATAATTAACTATGCTGTGTAGACAAATGAAACTTTCTGTGAATACTCTCTAGATGTTGATGGATGTAAATATGGCATTTTTCAAAATCGATTTTTTTTGCAGAATTTTTTTTTTCTAGGTAGTGCAGAGTGTCGAATTTGGTAACTATAAATAGCCCCAGCAAAGCAAAACATCCCCCTGGGTGCAGAGAGCAGGCAGCTTAGCGTTTAGGCAAGAACTTTCCAATGTATAATCACTGCCCTACAGCCCTACATGTACGGTGGCAACCATTAGGGGCGCTTGGGCACCGTCGCACCATGTACGGCGGTGACCTTCAAAGGGTTAAAGTTCATTGCTGTGTTTGTGTGTTATGTACGCACAGTTTCTGGCTGGCCACGATTACGAGCAAGCGCTCGCTGGACTGTGATTTTGCGTGTGTGGAAAGTGATTTTTGTAAACAGAGGAAACGTCTCTAGCCACGGAAGTACAGCCAAGAGGGAGGCGTGCCAACTCAAATACATTTGAGTTTATTTCAATATGGCGGTGCTGTTTGTTCCACTATTCAGATGAAGTGACTCCACGACTTCAGAAAAGCACACAGCCATGGCACCTATATTTCGTTTCAGCTTACGTCCAGACACAGCCGATGCTACAAGCGCCAGCATGTGGCCTTGAACAGTGCTTGCACTGCGCAAGCACGCATTCTTGGCAGGGAAGCTGAAAGGCCGGAGCTCGCACTTGTAGCACCATCTGCGTGTGGACTTAGGCAAAGCAGAGCGACAGCGAATGGCTTCAAAGAGGTCTGGTAGCAGAAGCATTGCAATAAGGGATGCTGTGACAACAGTTACAAATTGAAACAAAGTATAACCATGACAGCGACCTTTGCATACAGAGCTTCGGATTCAAATCCAACAGCATTCCCTTTGGGCCAGAAGTTCTAATGTTGATGTTGCCAACAAAAACTGCGAGACTGCTAATTTTGATGAGGCTCCTTTATAATTCTAGTTTGGGTGCACCTTGGTGCAATTTCGTGCTTATTTATACTTTTGTATCAGTGTGGCCCATGAAAAGTCATTACGGGCACAATGGCGCAATGGGCACAGCAGTTTCATCCCTGAATGCCACAATATTGGCAGAGGGATACAACTAACAACTATTTTTATTTTATTTAAAAGAAACAAAAAACTCTCACATAGGAGGTTGTCAGTTAAGGACCCTAAAATGATAGCGGGTTTGAATTCAACTATACATTGCATATTGTGCAGTGGGACACAAAAGAGTGGCACTCAGCCACTCGGCATGGAAAGCGACACGACTTTTCTTAGGCCTAACCACTTGCATAATGTCACCATCTGAAAGCGGACTACAGACTCCGGCATGTTTGTTGACATCAGTATATTCAATGAATAGAACATCTCACAGGACTGGGTAATGCCTCAAACCAAACTTTGTGGGCCGTTTGCACGATGCGGTCGCGCTCGCTTCCGCGGGAACGGCGCCATGATGCACTCGTGTGCAGTGATGCTGGCTGGGCTTGGCCACTAAATTGGCTTGGCCGCCTGGCGATTTGTTTGCATGCCGCACTTCTAGCTTGGGCAGGTCATCCAGGATAAAGCCGTGCGTGCGTGCGTCCAGTTGACCTCTTTTTGGGTAGTGATTAAAAAACTGATTCACCGGTTAAAAAAATTGATTGTGATTAAAGCCTTAATCAATTAATTGGAAGGTTAATCAATCAATTTCCCAGCCCTAGAATTAACTGGTTCTTAGTTATTGAATTCACAGCTTCAACAATTCAATGTTTCAGATTTTGGAGAGTAGCAGGCATAAGTGGGCAAACTTTTAAAAACCTGGAACCTTCCCTTATCTACTGATGTGCGGAATGTGCTTTCGTCTTTTACAGTTTGTTCGACATAAAAATTTGAAGTCTGTCCTTCTTTACGCATAGCCCTGTATTATGAAGAGATGGAATTAACGCTAAGCAGAGTGTAGCGAAATTGAAAAACATTTCACGGTCATTTTACCCTTAAAATGGAGAGAGGCAAAAGCATCGAGCGAGCTATGCCAATCAGGTGCCAAAAACACACCAGTAAACCAGGCTTGTCCAGTACTTTTAAGCGAACTTTCCTTTGCTTCGGTCCATCTCTGTGTGAAGCGCGATGCAGATTTTCATGCAAATTCATAGAACCACTCACGATAGAGACGTTTCCAAACTTGTCGGCACCGGCGACTGTCTCATAGTCGAGCATGCAGGAGGCAGTGATCCAGCGGGGCACTGAATCGTCGGCAAAGATGACCAGTTGGTTTTCCTGTCGCTTGTAGCGCAGAAAGAAGAAGCTCTCCTGCACATCGCTCACCACTACCCGGTTGCCCATTGCTTGGATGCTCACTATGGCATTGGGGATGTACTGCAATGACAAGAAGAATAAAACCATGATGACACTTTCAAAGTTAGAAATGCAGAGTTGGGACGCATTACAAATACCGGCCTTGTCAGGCGTAAATCTGCGAGTGAATACACAGCGAGGAAGTTTGTTAGAAGGAAATAAAAAAAACATGCAGTAACGAGCATTCCTTTGTGGTTGGTCTATAAAGACATGCTACAAAGTTGGTTCACGCCAGCGGTGAGAGAATCTGAATGTTCGCTGCCGACTCTGGGAAACGCACGCCTCACCTTATTCTCACACTTGCGCAGGAGCTTCTTGCGGCCCAGGTCGTAGAGGCGCAGGCACTTTCCAACGCCGGCAAGCAGGCGGCCCTGGAAGGGGCACAGTGCCGTGGGGGCCTCTTCGACGGGCGTTGCGTGCACCAGCTCCAGCTGAGTGGGGCCGGCCATGGGCTCCTCCGGGTTGGGTGCCAGCCGATACGTCAGCAGCAGGCCACCGCCTCGGCACACGCGCGGGTTCAGTTGCATCTCCCGGGCGGCCCCCACCACCACGAACTGCTCGTCTGGGTGTGAGGTGAAGCGCACCAGTGCCACACTCAGTGCCGCCTCATTCTGCTCCAGGGCAACCTGCACAGCCACAAACAACAGCAGTCAGATGCCAGTCAGCAGTCCAGTTCACCAAACTCTGACACTTAACAACTATCTTAGACACCCAAGAAAACCATTTTGAGAGAAAGCTTTTGAAACACTCCACATGCTGCTTTGAGGTGAACTGTGCCTTTTGTCACCACAATGGCACACTACAACGCGCAAGGTTTTGCAATTACTGTGGGTTCTCTGCCGTTCTGCCTTTGACAATAATGTTGATACAGCCAATATTTTGCCCAGTTGACACTGATGGACAAGTTTTTTTTCCTAAAAGATGTTTTCCAACAGTCAAGTTTTGCTTCCAAAGGAATAGTTTAAAGAAAGGTACAATTCACTGTATTATTCCTTATTTACAAGTGGGAGCACAGACAGTGCTTGCAAGCTGTTCGGGTTTAGAAGCATCAAATGGAAATACTGAATGTAAAAAGTTGTCCCATTTCTTCCATTCGGTTTCATTTTGGCACATCCGCTTCTACAACATTCCGGCAGTTTCAGATTCCAAACTGGAGGTACTTTACGGAGCTTCTCTATCTGATAAGCTCCTCAACTTCTGAATTTAATCGGGTCGATACTCCAATTGCCACTACCCCCAGAGCAGCCGACACGCAGAGTGGCCATCTCACGCGTATCACGTAAGCGGAGCGTACGTGATACATGTACAGTCGGGAGTAAAAGTTTGCGGGGCACGGTAGCGCGTGCCGAAACGCATTGCCGCGCCGTCCGACGGCGCGTCGCTGCATTAAGGAGACGCGCTTTGCGCATGCGGGGCTTCCGTGCTCGCAATCATGTCTTTTTCGCTCGTTTCTTTTTGACGCACTCCTGATAACAGGAGTCGGCGCCAGGGGCGCGAGTTAGCGCTTCGCTGGGTGTCATGCTGTGCGTCTGCTTCAGCCGCCTCAGCCACCGCGCTTTGTCATGGAGGTTGCGTAGGGGGAAGAGGGGGGGGGGGGGGGTAACCAGGCGCTCCGTCACCAAGCGCGGCTGCTGAGGCAGCTGAAGAGGACGCGAGGCATGACAGCCAGTGAAACGTCAACTTGCGCCCCTGGCGCCGACTCCGGTTATCAGGAGTGGGTCGGACAGAAACGAGCGAAAGAGATATGACTGCCAGCACGAAGGGCGCGCATGCGCAAAGCGCGGCTTTTTAATGCGGCGGAGCGCCGTTGCACGGCGCGGCGATGCATTTCGGCACGCGCTCCCATGCCCCGCAAACTTTTGCTCCCGACTGTACATGTACACGTGACGAGACAAACAGTGTGAGGATTTCTGGAGCACAACGAGCACGTACCATGTGCCAGTAAGCATCGTACCACATTCCACGCGGCGGTGTCTGCTTCCAGAACACCTCTGATTGGATATGTTTCGTTTCTTGTGCATTAACCCCTAAGTGCCTCGGACGAGCTGAGCTCGTCGGCCACTTTCTGGCTAAAAATGCCGTGGACGAGCTCAACTCGTCCAGTGGTTTTTTCGGTTGCCCTCAATTCTACGGACGAGCTAGGCTCGTCTGAGTAGTTTTGCGGCGTGTTTTCAAATTTTATTCAAAATAGTGACAATTCAAAATAAAAAAGATCTGGCACTTTTAGGTTACTTTTGGAAAAAAAACAATTTGGTACTTAAGGGGTTAATAGGACAGATAGAAAACACCAGAAAGCCAAGGTGGAGTGGTGTAGTGGTCAGCACACCCGACCGGATATTGGAAGACCCAGAAGGATCTGTGGCCATATTTCAGCACCTCTGGTTTGGTAAGCCCCACCAAGTATGGCAAAGAACTCACCTTGCAGAGCGACTGACCATCCGATGGATTCAGCACCCGGATCACAGAAGCCCACATGCCAGAGCCAGCCTTTGGGGCGCCAAACACAGCTTCAGGAAGGGTTTCACTCAGGAATGCTGCAGCCATCTCCGCTGCAAGCTCCTGTTCGCCCTCGCCTGCTGCTTCCACCATTTCCTGATGCGTACACAATAGACAATGATTGATTCCGGCAAACACCGTTCTCCCAACACAAGCAATCTTTAAAACAGAGATTCATTTAAGGGAGGATGAGGGTTTATAAAATTGCAGAAAGAACAAAACTGTCGAGTTTTCAGAAATTATAATTTTGAAGTCTTCACTGACCAAACTCACAAGATATAATTTCTGAATATAATATCAAGCTAATCTAAAAATTGTAGAGCCCTTTCACTTCACGTGAAGATGAAGGACCAGCGAAGCTGTTATCTTTACGACGTCTAGGACGATGCCTAGAGGACGACGCCTAGGACGACCTCAAGGACGACTTCTAAGACGACCTCAACAACAACGCCTAGAGGACGACATCTAGGACGACCTCAAGGATGACGCCTAGAGGACGATTCTAGGACGACTTCTTGGACGACGTCTAGGATGACCTCAAGGACGACTTCTTGGATGACCTCTAGAACGACGCCTAGAGGACGACCTCAAGGACAACCTCGAGGATGACGCCTAGAGGACGACGTCTAGGACGACGCCTAGAGGACGACGTCTAGGATGACGCCTAGAGGACGATGTCTAGGATGACCTCAAGGACGACCTTGAGGACTTCTTGGACAACCTCAAGAACGACGCCTAGAGGACGACATCTAGGACTTCAGGGACAACCTCGAGGATGACACCTAGAGGACGTCTAGGACGACCTCAAGGATGACTTCTTGGATGACCTCAAGGACGACGCCTAGAGGACGACGTCTAAGACGACCTCAAGGACAACTTCTTGGAAGACCTCAAGAACGACGCCTAGAGGGCAACATCTAAGACGGCCTCAAGGACGACCGCGAGGATGATGCCTAAGACGACTCAAGCACGAGTTCTTGAGCGACCTCAAGGACGACGCCTAGAGGACGTCTAGGACGATCTTGAGGACAAAGTCTAGGACCTCAAGGAAGACTTCTAGGACGACCTCTTGGACAAGGCCTAGAGGACGTTCTCAAGGACGACCTCAAGGACGCCGCCTAGGACGACCTCAGGAACGACATCTAAGGTTACCTCAAGGATGTCTAGGACGACCTCAAGGATGACTTCTAGGACAACCTCGAGGACGATGCCTAGAAAAAATCAGCCTTTCCACTCTGGTGAAGATGGAAGACCAGCAAAACTGTACTAGCTCGTTTTGCGTCGACACGCCGCCTGTCCGCGGACACGATACTGGGGAAACTAGCCCTTAACAGCTTCGCTGTAAAACAGCAAATTGGAAGTCTCAGGGAGACTGATTTCACGCATAGGAGAAACTTTAAGGGTGACTTTCTCAGCTGTCTTTTCTGTCATATTCCATTCCCTTACAGAGGTTTCGACAATGTTCTCAAATAGATTTCAGTAAGCTTGTATTGTTGCTTTGTGTATTAACTGAACTGTATCCTAAAGCAGTGGTTCTCAAATGGGGGTCCACAGACCCTTTGGAGTCCCTGAAGGCCCTCTGGGGTCCCCAAAGCCCTAACTGGTAGTCAAACCAAAGCCCTCAACTGCTAGTCAAACCGAGCAATAAAACTTTTTGTTTTAATGATGCTGGCTGTCCCACAGAGCTAAATAAACTAAACCATGTGCACTGAGTGAGTAAGGTTCATTTTTCCCCATTTCAGAGCTTTAAAGCACATTTGCACGGATTTAGTTTTCTTCATTTAACCTTTTGCCATCCCCCCCTCAAAGTGGATAAGGTCACCCATTAATAGTTAATATTAACTATGCATCAGGTGTTAACTTTCAACCTTACCGAAGTCATTTTTCATCTTCCAAAAACACACAACATGCCCTTTAATAGTCTAAGAGTAACTGGAAACAGACAAAATGTCCTTTAAAGGAGTCATGAAACGCTTTTCCAACGTTTTCCTGTTTAGCTTTCCTCCTGAACTCATAAATCACACATTGTACCGAACAGTTCGAAAAGACGGAAAGGGGGAGTCCCCTCTTTCTGGGAATCTCGCTTGTGTAGCCGGACACAGCCATTGTCCCCCTAGTAGATTAGCCCGTCGCTCAAAATTTAGACAAGTTGCTTTCCCCACCCTGTTCACCCCAAAGCTGACAGTGCCGTGGAGGCTACGTGCTCGTTGGGCCCGGCCTCACTTTTGCCACGTGATCACGCTCTCTCGCGCATACCGACCCGCAGAGAATAAGGTCAGGTGATGAAAGGGAAGCGGCTGATTGGTCCAGCAAGTGCGTAGCTTCCACCACAATGTCAGCTTAGGGGTGAAGGGATTAAGTGAGGTTTGGTGCCGTGTGACGTGCGTTTGGGCCCGATGACGCGCTGCGGGGTCCGCAGATGTATCACAGTGAAAAGGCAGAGAGCTTACGAAGGGAAGGAGGTACGAAATAGTTCGCCGTGTTTTCAAAATTTTCGTACCAAAAGTCAGGCTGCTGACTTTCTGCCTTTGTTCTTTTGGCCCACTGAACGATGCGCTATTAGTAAAATCCCATTATAGATTGATTTATTCCAGTCCAAAATTCGTTTCATGGGCCCTTTAATAGTCTTACAAAAGTAACTGGAATGAATTTCTGGAAGGTGGGGCCCTCGCAGTGGCATCGTCTGCTTAAGTTCTAGCAGCATGTTGTGAATTTTTTCCCTAAGCACTTCAAAACCATTCCTTGCTTTTTGCAATGTCTGATTTAAAAGACCTTCCACATTCACAAAATGATTTCCTTTCAAGACTTTTTCCATATGGGCAAACAGAAGAGAGACACACAGGATGAGGTCCAATGAATATGGGGGGGAAGGAAGCGGTGCGATGCCATTTTTGTTAAAAAATTGCGGCACTGACAGGGCAGTGTATGCTGGGGCATTGTCGTGTTGGAGCCATCACTCCCCCCCCTCCCCTGAAATCATGTTGTTTCTGCCTCACTGAGTTGTGCAAGCATCGCAAAATTTCCAGGTAAAACGCATGATTAACAGTTTCACCAGGAGGAATAAACTCTGAGTGAACAATGCTCGAATTTTTCTATGTTTTCATCAGTTGAGGAGGTTGAGGGTCGCCTTAAACGAGGTTGGTCATCAATTAATTTACCGGCTTTAAAGCGAGAAAACCACTCGTAGATCTGCGATTTCTTAATAGCCTCTTCTTTTTAAGCTGTCTGAAGCATTACTAGAGTTTCTGCCGCTGTCTTCCATAAAATAAAACAGTTTCATGGCCGCACGCTGTTCCTCAAAAACACGACATTGCAACAAAAATTGGGAATGATTTTAAAGCGCTTGGGGAAAAAAACTGAGAACATGGCGCTAGCTAGCACTCTAGTAGACGTCGGTCGGAACACTGACTGGGAATGGGTGCCGCGAAGCACAGCTAGCGGCGGAAGCTGGTACTACGAATGGCCTGCTCACCAGAAATTTGTTTCGGTTACTTTTGGGTCACCCCTCGTGATACACATAACTTACAAACTTACAACACGTTCAAGACACTACAACAAAAATATGTACAAACTATGGCAATCAAAGTCTATCGCACCAAAATCACCAAACTACTAAACAAAATTCACAAATTTTTGATAGTATTAAAAAAAAAAAAAGGAGTTCCATAGGTCTTTTTAAAATCAAAATAAAAGTTCATATTTTGAACTTGAATGTGATTGTCTGATACAAGTGTATAGCCTTCTTTGTTTTTTTTGTTTTTTTTTTGTGGTGTTGATTTCGTAGCGATCGAGTATGCACACGTTGACCAAGGCGGTTATTCCGGCCTCTGGACCTCAAGAGCTGGGCATTCAGGCCCGTTTAAATCAACATTTCATAGTGTTGACAGTACACCGCACGAACATGATCCCCAGACAAGCGTTGCCAAAAAAGCTGCCTATGATTTTTGTGATCCAAAATCCACGTGCTCCGATCAGGCCGAGCTCTCCGACTGGCTGTCCGCGTTGCCAAGGATGCCGTAGCCATAGCAACAGCCCGGCGATCGCAAGCTTGCAGGGCACCGGAAGTTCTCGTTTTCCCGTACACGCACGTCACTTTCCTCCTTTCACTTAAGAAAATATTTGTGAACACAGATTTCTCCGCATTTTACATTACTTACAAACTTCTTAGCCCAGATGCTACAGCCTAAAAAACTCTTTGTGAATCTGGCCTCTGCATACTATATTCAAAAGAGCTACGTAAATTAAATTTTATAAATGTTTAAAACCCTCATCCTCCTTAAAGCATGGCATACACTTTGTGCTTTCCACTTTACCTCACTACCTCCTTTCCCATATTCTCACCACCTTTCAACTTGCCCCAATACGACTCCCTTTGCAATTTAAGAGAGGAGGGCACAAACAGGATTATTTTTCCAGGAGATTGAGGTCGTACGTCGGCCAGTGCACAGTCATGACAAGGAAGAAAAGAAATAAGGATAACAATAAAACAAAGATGCAGTGTACTACAAACGGAAAAACAAACTGCATGGCACAAAGAGCAGAATCATCCTGCCCACAGTTGCTCCATAAACGAGCCGCTCATTTCTCTAATGACCCTCCAACTGGATGCAACCACAGTGCTTTGCACCCTCCACACCCAACGGGGCTGTAGCAGCGATTGCTCAAACCATAGAGTTAATATAATTATCTAGAGGGAAAGGTCCCATGCAATGTGGCCGCTTCGGAACGGTGGGGCATAAGCGCGAGACATATGCGCGAAAAGTCCATCCGATCCGACATCCGATCCGGTAGCACGACTGCCTGATACGAAAAATTTGGTCGCTTCAGATGTCGGATTGGCGATCCGACGTGCGTCCAACGTGCCAGATAGTTTCGCATGGCGAACGGACTGTCGGAAGCGTCCAGCCAATGACAGCACAGCTAGCGCGAACGTCATGATGACTTACTGGGTCTGGCAGGACGAACAAGAAAACAGGACGGGCGACGGGAAGTCGGACGGTGGATCCCGCTGACCCATTCGAAAAAGATGGCCCCGGCAAAGAATGCACGCGCTAGCGAGAACGAGCTCCTAACTTCGCTCGTGCGAGCTGAACCGTCAATCTGGGACCAGAGATCTATGAACGCGGACCTCCGCTGGAGAGCTTGGATCTCCTGGGTGGAGCCGAACGGATCGTCGTGTCGCATGCAAGGTCAAAAGTGTGTGTCTCAAACTGTCGCGTGCGGCGATTCGGAGCGGCGTTCAGGCTGTCGGATCAGACGATTTTGCCGTCCATGTGTTTCGCGCTATAGACGCAGACATCGGTAGTCCCATCGGTGGTGCTGATGGGCCTAGATCACAGGCAAAGCTTTAAATCCATAAAGAAACAGGAAAACATCCTTTGCAAGATCCGTACTTATTGTTTTTCTAGCTTTCTTTTGAATTTGATTAGTGAAATACACCGGCATTTCACATAGTATAAAAAGAAATAAAGTTGACAAGTGATTCAAAAACTTCAAGTCGTCGTGGCAAGACGAACACGCCCAACCTATCGTGCTTTCTTCCTTTGCTCTTCTGTCACTTTCTTTCTCTCGGGACCACCGATGTCAGCGCTTGCGATTTGCCATGTTCTGCTCCCGTCTTTGCCTTGCTGGCTCATGCGGCACACTTCGTACAAACACGACAACTTGCCTCAGCCATCTGCTGCTTTCGCTGGACCTTCATCTTCTCCGTGTAGGCATTATGGTCAGTTTCCACCACCACCAAGTGATTTGTGTCGTGGTTCACAACAAACTTGCGGGGAGTGTACTCCAGTGGAGTCGACACCTGGTTGAACACAGCTCCCAGCTTCTCAAGCGCTAGAATTCTAATGAAAAAGAATTAAGCACAATGAGAGAAATGCTAGAGAAGAAACACTTATTCAAGAAAATCTGAGTAAACGACAATACCTGAGCGTGTTTGTCGAGATTGCCACAATGCCCTCTGGACACTGTTCCGAGGAAAATCCGGATGCAAATTCCAAGGTCTCGTAGGACAAGGGTGTCAGATGGAACCTATTCTGGTAGTAGTAACTCAACCAAGAACGGCTCGACATGGCCAGCGCCTGGGAAAAGACAGGGTTCCATCTTTGGCACAACACAAAACATGAACATACTGCAAACAAGTGCAAAACCCCCTTTCGCTTTTAGAGCACAGCTATTAGGCGCCCGTTCTCGCATGTAGTTGCGGCGCCATCGCCGTAAACGCGCGCATTGCGTTATGGGACGTCACGAACCAACAGGACAATTGAATTCCCCACTAAATTTAGCGGAGAAACTGAAGTGGTGTGTAGGTCGTGGCGTCCCATAATGCAACACTGTGCGCACTACATTGTGGGGCGTCGCAGACCTATATAAAAATTCAACTTCCCCGCTAAATTTACTGCCGAATTCACAAACCTCACTCTAATTGAGGCGCCCCTCCACTTCGCCGAGGAAGGCGCGAGGGCTGGCGCTGGCCAATTGCGACGACGGACAGGCGGCCTAGGCTGCTTATCTGTCGTTGCGATTGGCCAGCGCCGCCCTCGTGCCTTCCTCGAGGAAGTGGAGGGGCGCCTCAACAAACCAATGTCACCAAGTAAACTGCGCAGGCCCGCGCATTCCGGAAGTGGTGCCGCCCCATGCTACTTGTAGTCATCACTTTCCGAATTTCCACCTGCATAGGGCTGTACTGCACAAACATCTTCCTACACCTTCGTTTGGGAAGCCCCGATATTAGCTTGAATTCCCCTGCATATCTGTAACTCATACCATTGTGTTGTTTGTGAAACCTTAGCTTGTCAGCAAGTGCAGAAGGACAGTTCTAGTCATCTTTATCGCTTTAGAATCGCTTTGTCTGCTTCGTTGTCATTTGCTTTTTCGTCTTCGTGAACCGTGAACCCATTGCCTTCACGCGGCAATCCCACTGCGGGTGTGGGGTAAACGCTGCTGTAAAGCTGTACAAAGTGCTGTACAAACGAAGAGCACTTTGTGTTCTGTTGCGTTCTGATGTGACGTGTACCTTGTTTGCCAGGCCGGCAAACAAGGTACAAGCTAAACAGACACAAACAAAGGACCTGAACGCATCGATGCAAGACATTGCGGGCCAGTGTCAAAAAGAGTTTGGAGCACTTTGTGCAACGATTGAACTCGAGACAAACAAGCGCGCTGTGGGGGTTCAGCGTGCAGACATTGCCTTCTTTGCTTTAGCTCACTTCTCTTACCAACTTTCTTTTGGGGCAGATTTTTCACATACCGGGGTCCCTCTCGAAAGAAAGACCACCGAGAGAAACCTAAGTAATCAATGCTTCGGACAAAGCAGTTTTTGAGTAAAAGAGAGAAACTAAATGTTGATGAACATCTAGTTTCATTTTAGAAAGCGCCATACCTGCAGCGACGGCAACACCCAACGTCACGCAATCACAGTGACTGGAAGGCAAGAACCAAATACAGTTTTCCCACGGCCATTGCTTTCAGGAGCGAGTGCTGCAGGTCACAAAACAACTCCCGTTGCGCAAAAAACACGTGGTTTCGTTTCACAGCATGACGGCATGGCTGGTACTCAGAACGCTAGCGTCGGAGCCTCAGCACACACCCGCGTTTATCGTAGAAAATATTTTTTAAAAATGACCGCATCTCCACGTGGTGAATGATGTTGATTAGGGCGAAGCTCTGGTGGTGCTGATGATACTGATTTTGTTCATAGGTAGTGCTGATGGTGCTGATTTTTTCTTATTGCTCATAGGTAGTGCTGAGTTCCGGGTGGCATTTCGACTTCATTATTACTGCACTATGGTCGGTGAAACGCAGAGCCAGCGGTTCTTCTAGCGGATCAGCTTGGATCCGCTAGAAGCTGTGGGAACGCATCTCCACCGCTTAAGTCAACGGTCCATGTCAGAAAGACAATGTGTGGTATGGATTGTGGTTATACAGTCGAATCTCGTTATAACAGACCTTGATTTTGACCAAGATATCGGTCTGTTGTAAAAGGAGTATGTTGTATGCAGATATGAAGTTCAGTCAATGGTACATAGAGGGAAACCAACCGAACTTCACAAATCGGTATGTTATATCCAAATGTCTGTTGTAACCGGGTCTGTTGTAACGAGCTTAGACTTATATGCAGTTGAGCATTTGACCGCAGCGCCCTCTCGTCTATAAACGTTGAGCCAATGCATGCAAAGTTTAACGCGATTATATACACATTCGACCGCAGCACCCTCTCCTGTATAGACGTTGAGCGGCTATATACTACATTTCATCCATGACATCCCCAGCTCTCGAGTTACTACCACATCTCGGAGCCCCCTAATCGTCCCGCAGTCATGGCCGAGTGGTTAAGGCGATGGACTAGAAATCCATTGGGGTCTCCCGCACAGGTACGAATCCTGTAGACTGCGCAAACATTTTTTCTTTTTTTAAGAAGACAGATGGGATGGCAATCAATGTGAGCACGGACGCCGGACGGACAAGACTAGACCCTAAGGAGCTTCGCCCCTAAAAGACATGAGACGAGACCCACGAGACGAGAAGATGAGAGCGTGAAACGCGAGACGGTGAGAAAACCATGCAAGACCGGATGGACGATTGGTGCAGGGTACTTTGTGTCGGGCGGCCGCTTGCGCCACATAACACACGCATGCTCCAATTGCGGTACTCTGTATAACTTCGGTTTCAAAAGCCGACCGAAATTTTTTTTTTTTTTGCCGCAGGCTTGGTGCAGATTACCCATATTTTGGAAAAATGTAGCAGTATGTAGCAGGGTTAGTCACTTTGTGCAGTTTGGTGCAATTGGCGCAGCAATCACATTACTGGGATTATCTCTGAAGTTTGAGTGGGCGCTTGCCCAGTATTTTATGGTATATACGGCTCTGGTGAGAGGTGGCACAGAGGCATGCAGCTGACATGATAATCAAGTGCCTTCATGAGGAGTACAAGACCCTGGTTGTGTCTTATCACAGTAGTCGTCACCCTATTATTTGGCTACATTTTCCCGCAACTTTTAGCTCCTGACATCGCCGACATCGTTTGGAAATTTAGACAATGTCCGCGATCAACCCGCCAGCACATCGACCGACCGGCGCGGTTGACGAGCAATCTCAATACTTCGATTCACCTTAATTCAAAGCCTAGCCGACGCTACGAGTCAATGAGACCAACCAAACAGTGCAACATCATGGCATTCGTCCATCCTCGTGTACGTGTTTTTTCATTGGCTAAACCAATCAAGTGCAGCGAATGTCCTGTGAGTTTTTGGTTTTGTATGCATGCTCTTGGTTGTATGTGTTTAGGCCCTTGACTGTGCTCTGACCTAAGATGAAACAAACTATACGCTGAGTAGAGACGCCGTGAAATACATATTAACGCAATAGCATTAAGGAGCTCGTGTCGCGCAAAAACCGGCATCGGTAGCGTGACAGGAAAATCCTGATTGGTCGAAAGGGTCACGACGCCACAGGCACATGACCTCGCACGGGAATTTCAACCCACAATGCTCAAGTGAAATGCAACGTCACGCGTGGAATGAAAGTGATTAAAACATGACATGTAATGCGAATTAAAGGTCGCTGCATGTCTCAAATGATTTCACTTTATAAAGTAATTAATTTGCCTTAAAGAAAATATTTGAAGAATTTTAGGCGGGACTCAAACTTGCAACGACCCTTCGGTTGCAAGCCAGAGATGCTACTGACTAGGCAATGCTAGGCACGGCGAATGAGAAGGCAATGTGAATAGGGCCCGATAACGCTAGTGAGTTTTTGTACCATTTTCCTTTCCTTCGACTTCTCTGAATATTAGAGACGGCCCAACAAAAAAATATTTTTTGCTTTGCTTAAGCCCATCTCCGTGCCGGTGTGGTGCAATTCTTAGCAAAAATGACTCTTTGGTGCAAGATGTAAAAAACTTTCCTTCAAGGCGCAATTTGGTGCAAATGGCACAGCACTTATGGTGTCAGAAGACTACCTAATTAATATTTTGCTACAGTGTCACATATATTTTTAATCAAGTAAAAAAGTGCAACTGCTTGAAACCAAAATCGAGACTGGACTGGGGAGGAAGAGGAAACATAAAGGAGGGGAGCGTTGTTGGAAGTCATGTGGCTGTGCAACTTAATTTTTTTCAATCAACGTATTTGCAGCATTTTAGAAGCCACAAAAAATGGGTATCATATTTCTTTTTATTTATTTTTAATATTGAGTGTGTGCCTTTGATGACCCACGATTCTGATAATATCTGGTGGTTGTGTCTAAACCTTAGAAAACGGCATGTGACCACAGAGAGGAGGGGTGAGCACGACTCAAACAGGCCAGTTCTCGATCGGTGGTTTTCGGGCGGAAAGGAAACAAATTTTGAGCGGCAAATAGAGTTCCGGATAGTTGGGCTCTCATATGTCATGTACAAATAAAAAAAACCTTGGCGAGCAAAAATACCGTGTCAGTGTCCCTTTAAAGAGGTAATCCAGTGTTTTCTTCATAGTCCCCGATTTTCCTGAAAATCTACTCAACACACAAACAAACATCCCTGAAATAGTAACCTAAATATTGGGCATAAACATTTTTTTTTTTCTTTTTTCGCTAAGTTATTGAATTTTCAATTTTGGTCCTCACCGTGCTTTTCAAAGTGAGTCTCTACTGGCAACATTGAAAAAGTGACGTCATGAAACTGATTATACAAGCAGTTTCATGGTATCAAATTAATGCTATAGAAGCTCGCTCCAACACCTGCACAGCAGCGTGAAAAAATTAACGCCAGGGAAAACATTTTTTTTTTTCTTTTTTTTTTTGCATTTGATTTTTTTAATTGTTACTGAAATCTGCACTGGGGAGACTTGCCATGACCAACCGGTGACCCACAACGCACCATACAAAAATTTCGAAGACGCCAAGCACTTCTTATGAGTTGTGAATGTGAAAGCACCAATGTTGTTTTTCCGCTCCCTTAGTTATTGGTTCGTCTGTGGTGTGCTGGCGGGGACGGCCACGTTTCGCTACTGCCGAAGTTGCGACTGGCGGCCGAGCGCACGCTCTCATGAAGCGGCCGCCAATGGCTATCTAGGAGCCGTTTTGCTCAGCCAACGGGAGAATGGAGACTTCTTTCCTTTTTTATTTGCGGTTACAGATGCCACCGGTTCCGCTCCATGGGATAGTTAATGCTTTCGCACTAAAACAAATGCTCGACACAGTCCACTTTTAGACTGCCCCCTCAACCTGCAAGCTTGCCTTCCCCTGACCTTCACGCTGCTGAAAAGTGCGGGTATATTTGAACGTTGGTTTTGGCATCACTTTCACGTGCCTATTTCACAATATCTATTCTGAATGTCGCGACACTAAATAGCATATTGGAGAGTAAAAGCCGGTGATTCCGAAAACATAGTCAGTTGGGGTAGCTAAAAAAAATCGCCAGATTTTTTGACAGCTTTAAAGGGACACTGACACCCCCCAAAAACTTTTTTTAATTTTTTGCCAGGCGATTCTATATGGTGCCGGAATACTACCCAATTAATATTTTGCTACAGACTCATATTTTTTTAATAAAACCAAAAAACGCAACTGCTCGAAACTGAAACCAAAACCCCCGCTCCGCACGGAGATGTGGAGAGGAGAGAGTGAGTGGCGGAAGTCCCGTGGCTACACCCGACCGTGCGACTCTTTTTTCTTGTTTTCTTCAGGGTGCAGCAGACGAAATGCGTTCAGAATTCGTTCGCCGTGCAATTCCTTTGCAATTTGTTCCGCTCGCTGTTCTGTACTTCAAGATGAGTTGTTTTGTACATTTAAGTGTTGGCAATTAGTAGTAAGTGCCTGAGGGGAATTCCCGTGATCGGCTCCAAAAAGAATACTCCCAAGATGTTGCGTGAAGAGCAGCCTCACATCTGAAAGTGGCATTGTGCGACAGAGGTGTCAAAAATGGAATCCCATAACATTTAGTTCAGCGACGTATCATCCACAACAATTGTTTTTTTTTCAGTGATAAGTGTAAAAAAAATTAAACATTGCAAAATGTAAAAAAAAAAAAAAATGGTACGCCCACACTAGGGATTGAACCCGTGCCTGCTGCGAGTGAAGCGGATGTCTTTCCACTGAGCTACTGAAGGAACTCTTTCGTTCGTAGTAATGCATCCGGTCGACTGTATGTCGGAAAGTTTGCTGCCGATTTCCCTCCAGTACATGCACTCCCGGCTTGAAGTCGGGCAGCACCACGCATTGGCCACATTAGCACTAAGTAGAGAAACCGTACATGTGCGTATTCAACTCGATGTACGCACTCCGTGCTTGGCGTTTCACAAGCGATGTCTTCAGCCACGAGAAGGGACGACGGCTCGGCGACGTCTTCGTGCAATCGGCTTGCTGGTCGGACGTGTAGTATGGAATGAATATCAATTCTTTTGATCGGTCCAAAATTTCTCTTTCGAAGGAAGACCAAATTCGCCGGTACCGTGAACAACAGTTCTGAAGTAGAGGTCCCACGCCCGTCGTCCGCTGCCACCCACAAGTCCCACGAAACGCGAAACGTCGCCATTTTAAAAATTATGCAGTGAACGCACAGAATGCTTCTGGTTGTCTGTGCAACCTATTTTTTTCAATCAACGTATTTGCAGCTTTTTGGAAGCCACGAAAATTGGGTTTCATTTTTTTATTTTTAGTATTGACTGTGTGCCTTCAATGACCCACGACTTTGATTAAATTTGGTGGTCGCGTCGAAACCTTAGAAAACGGCCCGTGACCAAGGAAAAGAGTGAGCGCGACTCAAACCGGCCAGTTCTCGATCGACGGTTTTCAGGCGGAAAGAAACCGAATTTCGAGCCGCAAATTCTGTTCTGGGTAGTTGTCACGTACAACAAAAAACCTCGGCGGGCAGAAATACCCTGTCAGTGTCCCTTTAAAGACAGCTACCTATCTAAGAACAAAGAAAACACAAGTTCCCACAAATAAATATGCATTAACTACTCAATGTAAGTATCATAATAATGTCCAAAAAATTCCCAGAAGAATGACATGGAAACCGCCACACTTACAGCATCACTGCCTTGCATCCGAACTTTGAAGAGCTTCACTGCTCTGGAGCCCAAATAACGAGTCCGAGTGTCTGAGAGATCACCAGTCACTTGGTCCAGGACAGTACGCAACAGCACTCCGTTCTGCACGCAGAGACAGAACTTCTCTTAGCATAGTCTGCTTTACCTTTAATTCCAAGTACAGTCCAAAACATTGCAGACTTTGAAGAAGTAAGCAGATCCCAAGTCATCTATGAAGGCTGGGGAAAGCGGGTAAATGTGGAGATCAGACACAAGCAGAATAAAAATTTTCTTCAGCCTGCATCGCAGTAATAAAAACAATAGAAGCATTCCCAGAAAGGTTAAAAGGTACTTTAATTGTAAGATACCTGATAAGCATAATTAAACCACTATATAATCATATCAAGGTAGAATGCACTTTGGAGAACCAGAATTCTTTGGGGTTCACAAAGTACATTTGGTGTCTCACTAAAGAGATGGAATGTCTTATCTTACAAACAACCCAAACTATGATTGATACACATCAAAACTGCTAAAAGGGTTCCTAATAATTTAATTTAAAAAATTATGAATTTCTGATGACATGCCACCTTTTTCAAGGATCAAATCGTACTATCCACAATTTTAAGAACAAACGGGCTTTTAAAAGATATTTTGATGCAAACAAGAAACAGTGACTATTCTTCTCAAACAGTACACAGCTCGAAATGACTGGGGAATCATCTCGGAATAAAGGAAATAGTTTAAAGTAGCATCTGACATGACACAGAAAAGACAAGGAAGAACTGAAGCTACAACACATCTCGATTGTTTTCGAGCCTGAATTTCATACACCCAGTCAATATTAATCAGAGTCAATGATTTCAGGGGCTCTCTAAAATTCGAGGGTTTTCAAGGACCTGTGCCCAAAGAAAGCTACCAAATATTTGATGATGTATGAACAAAGCCATGTATGCAGGGGACAAAACAACTTTGTGATCAACGCACCTGAAGGCCAATGTTTAGGTACAGGACGCCCTGGCTGCTTGGATCCATCTCTGCCAGCCCCATCTCCACGATGGAAAGCGACTCTGGGGTCGCAGGAAGAGCTTGCATGCTCAATGGCGAGAGGCAGTCCTGCAACAACCGGGCAGCAGCCCACTTAGTCAGGAGACCCTGGCACCCAACGGCCTCTTTGACTCACCGAGGGATCAAGGGAGATGATTCGGACGGTGTTGTCGGCAAGGCCCACCGCCAGGAACCGCGACCGCTGCTCTCCAACGGGGACGCTAGCAAGGGACATGCATATGATGTCAGCCGACATCTCTCGCCGATCCGTGTATTCGTTCAGTTGACCAGTCTGCAACGAATTGGAGTGAAGTGAATTCAGTCGCCAACCACACACTGAGGGTAAATACTAAAGTCCAGTTTGCTTACAGGGTCCATCTCAAAGTAGACCAGCTCTCCTCCGGTGAGAGCAATGACAACCTGCCGTTGGTTCACGGCGCACTTGACAATGGCCTTCTTTCCCGGAGTTCGCCACTCGTTCACGCGCTTGTCCGCACGGATGTGCCGGATTCCCTCAGGGTATACCTGCCAGTGTACAGCCAGGATTGGTACGTTTTGGTCACAATCAATTAGCCCTACAGCACCCCTTCTGCGTAAATGCCGGAGTTAATACCAACACAATTATGTAAGCCCTCACTACTTGTTACCCATTTATACGCAAATGAAACGAACTCTCATGCAAACACTGACAAACATATTTAAAAGGTAAATTCACACAGAAAAAATGTACATACATGCACAAAATTATTGACAGAAGAGTGGAGGCATAAAACTAGCTCTCCATGGGCTTGGGCCAACCCAAAATGCACGGGCTGGGCCTCGTAGGCCCGTGAAGTGACCATAATCTACAGCAGTGGTCGGCAACCAGCGGCCCGCGAGGCAGAATCATGCAACTCCTAGACCCCCCAGCACCCCCCCCCCCCCCCCCCCCCCCACAACGCGGTCAGCTAAAAAAGAAGAAAATAAAGATAAAGTTGTCTAATTGGCTGCCCGTTGCCTGCCTTCATGAATGACTGACGAGAGCCTCCACAACGTCTTGCGACTCGCAGTTAGTAGCTTGAATGTGGATGTCCGTAGTTTGGCGAGCGCAGTTCAACACCAGAAGTCTCACTGAGAGTAGTCTCTAGGTTTTTGTGGAAATGTTGTATCTCATGATGATGTCGTGTGTCGTGAAATAGAGAAACTGTTCCTTTTCGATTTATGTACGTCAATGTGAGGTCGTGCAAGTGTTTTTTGTTTTATTTTAACCCCCCCCCCCTCCCCTGCTGCTTGCCGTCCGGCCCGTTCCACCTTAGCTTCACGGCGACTCGGCCCGCTGCGCCAAAGGTTGCCGACCACTGATCTACAGCACAGAAAACGGGACATCGGGGAAGGAGGAAGGGAGAGGGAGTAGAGGAGCAAGAACAGGGCTAAAAAAAAAAGTAATCTCTGCTGCTATTCAGTTCACTGTACAAATGCACATTTTTCCAAAAGTGCCCCGGACTTTGTTAAGTTGGATGCATGAGCACCTTTCTTCTTCATTTGTAAACAAAACAGAAGCATGCCGAATATAGTAATATAAAAAAGTGCCCCGAACAATAGTTTGTTTGGGGCAAACAGAATGTATTGACAGATGAAACGACAGAAGGAGCAGTAAACTTGCTTTAAGGGGAGGAAACATTTTTATAGTATGTTTAGTTTTATAAAATGTCTTATGTATTCTTTTTAGATTTCTTCCACTTGCTTAGCACTCATTTCACAACTATGTGCACATTCCTACGAGAATGGGACAAGAGACTTCATTGAGAAACAATGATGGGAGGGCAGAAATGCACCTCTAAAACAGGGCAGTCCCGGCCCAAACGGACGTGTGGCCACCCCTTCCAAGGCCCCCACAGACAGCTGCATTGCTAGTTTGCAACTGCTGGATCCCCTCCCTCCACCGGAGTAGCCACCCACCTGAACCAGTGCGTCATCTCCTATTTGAGCGCAGGACAGAGTTGGGGTTGTGCCGAGAAACCCGGAGTCCGTCACTTCTTCCACAGTTTCTCCAATGGACAAAACCAAGGTGGCATTGACGAAGGACACAATGATATATGCGTCAAAGTCCTCTGCAAACAAGACCTTCAAGTTTTACTAAACTTGAAGCACTTCCCTGTTCGTGGCACGGTACTGCCGCAACTAACCGTCTGCTTTCCTCTTTACTGTCCAGACGGCGTTGGGGTTGCCAGGCAACTCGGAGACAGCCATTTCAGAGACCTACAGGTAACAAGGAAGGACAACTGTAGCCTATAATGAATCTTCCATAAGAGAAAGGGTGCACTAGCCTAATAATTAAACATACTGACTTAATATTGGCCTTTCTAAACTCGAACAATCAACCGACACCCCAAGCCTAACTCTATGGTTTGGCATACCCAGTCGGCCTGTCGGATGAGGTGTGCTTTATTTCGAAAGTTCTGGAGGAGCTAAGATGGTACGAGACACTTTATCCATCTCACTGTCAACAAGAAGGTCCTAAGAGAGTAAAAAAATTATTCAATATGTAAAGAACCTTGATAAATCGATTAGAATTTGTACAAAACACCAAATATATGGCAAAGCATTCCATTCCTATGCCACTACAGCATCATGTTTGAAATTCTCAAAGGTTGCTTGTGGATGTCACCATGCTTATGGCTAATTGCTCGTTCACAGCCGTGACCTAAATCTCCGATACAGTAGGGAACCTGCATGAGGTCGTTGCAACACACTTTGACCAAAAGCCCCTCGACACATGCTCCCTCAAGGCGAATGAAGGCAATTAACCCAACCAGCGGTGAACGATTTCTCTAGGAAGAGTAGGGCCGCACTTGGACACTTCCAGGGTTGCCCAAACTGGGAAAAGGGGGGGGGGGGCAGAGCCTTTCCTCTCCCTTCCCCTCCCCTCCCCCCTTCCCCAAGTATTCTTAGGGGAGAAGGGGCTCAGATCCCGTAAAAATGCTTGGAAGGGAGACACAGGCGCCAGTCACACGACATAGTGAAAGTAAAAAAGGAACCCGCAAGGATAGTAAACAAAACTCAAATTGAGATATCTCGATGGATGGATGGTAATGGCTATACCCTTTGAAACGGGCGGCAGCTTGTGCCACCTAGCCTAACATTTCATCATCCCTTTTTTTGTTTTTTGTATAAATTTTGCTATGACACAACCCCCCCCCCCCCCCTTTTTTTAAAGTGATTCCATTGCTTATTTTTCTCTGTATTTTTTTTTTTTTTTATCCTTCCTTAGATCTTTTGCACCAATCTTCCAATCTCCTCTTAGTTACCGCAATTCTTTCCCTATCCATTCGTCCATCTATGTCCGGAAAACCCAGTGCCCCCTCCAAATCCGTAGTCATCCCCCCAAGAGGGTGGGACGAAGCCCCGTGCACCTTAAAATTACATGTTCTAAAGTTTCCCTTTCGCGGCTGCATACGTTGCACAGAGTGTCTACTTCCTGGAATTTAGCCCTATAAATTTTCGTATAGGGCTCATCTGCAAAAAAAATTTTGTACATAAACCATGAAACCATGAAAACAAAAATGACAAAAGGGAACTTGGCTTCAGCCACCCCCCACTCAAAATATACTTCCAGTGGCCATGCATACTTCACGCCAATTTCTGAGGCTACCTGGCAGTATGTGTGCTTCTGGCGGAACCATGAACAAGAGAAAGTGATCTGTGCAGTGGCGTCACAAGGGTCAGCGGCACTCGGTGCAGTGGCCTGCTACAACCCCCGCCCCCCCCCCCTTGTGACACCACTGGACATGTGGTATAACAAATCAACTTCTGGCTGACTATGTGACTTTATAAAAGGCAGTTATTGCAAAAAACACTTTGTGGAGCCAGCATTATCTATCCACCAGTAGTAAAGAGAGCAGTTGATCCCAACGGCTCACAGAGAAGCAAACACTCCAAAACGCACAGGAGGACCTCAGCATGCACACTCGCCTCAAGGCCGTGCCGAAGTACCCGCAGGCAGGAGCGGGGACCCCGGCCGCACGCCACATAGAGCTGTGGCGTGTCTTCGTTTGCCAAGTCGGCAATTGTGCAACCCATGGCCGGTGAAAGTGAGTCCAGCTCCTCCACGGGCAGCAGGTTGCGCAGCGCCCGAGGTGCGAAGAAAAAGGTGTCCCCCTCTTCCAGCGGGATTGCGCTGCTGAATTCCGGTTCCTCGTCCTCCTCCCCGAGGCGTGCAATCTGGTACAAGCAGCTGGAAGTGCCCACCCCAGAGAGAGTTGGGGCATTCCTCGTCCAGCAAGCATGAGTAAGGAGAAAAACAAATGCTACTTACTGATTTCCAAATTCTGCAGCCACGAAGAGAAAACCGGTTTTCAGCACACACATACTGGCTGCCACAGGAATGGTGTCGAAGTACTTCAGCTTGATCTCAGTCACCTGCGGGAAGACGCAGGGGCTAGTCTCGGGAATATGCCTTTTGATGTAAGGTATGTGCGAAGAAAAACTTCAACAAACCATGTCTTCATCTGTTTCCAGTGTGATCTTGAAGATGTCACCTTGTTCAGTTTGAGCCAGGAAAAAGAACATGGACTGAAAAATATTGCCATGATTACACCTCTTGCATCCCTCTTTATCAGGAATGAAAGCACACGCTAAAAATCATCATAAAGCAGTTTATTGCAGTCACTTAAAAGCAGTAATCCTTAGCTCTAGGATATTTAAGTACTGTACTCCTAGGTTGACATAGCTGCTCAGGTGGCACAGTGTTCTTGAAACACTTTCGTTAATTAGGAATTGAAAGGAACTATAAAATTCCGATGAAACAACGGAAGTGTTACGCACGTCCAAAGACAACACGAGTCTGAGGTCCATAGAATTTCTTTCCAGGTGGGTATGACAGGTAAATTGAAGTTTTAACTCTGCACTTAACTAAGAAACATTTTACATTTTGCCCGCATACTTGACTTGGAATCGTAAAACACTACAAAAATTCCGTCTTCAAACTCTACTATCTGTAAAATAATGTGAGAATCAAAGGACAGAATGGGAAGTTGGTATTTGTTCATGGTAAAAAAAAAAGCACTACTGAAACAAGGAGCAAGGAAGGAAGAGAAGAGCCAGGACCAAGCACTGGACCATTTCTCTTCTCTTCCTTCACTTAAATTTATTTGCACTGACTTCACTGTGAAATGACTCCATCATGGTAAAGTAGCAAATTTCTTCAAAGACTCAGAATAAAAAAATTTTTTTGAAGGTTTACAATAGAATTACAAATGTAATTTGAGCAAATTAAAATAAAGGTTCCCTGGATCAAAACTCAGTTTCACTGCTGCACAAATTATTCATATCCTTTACAGACTGCTGTTTAGCTTTCCTCTCAAGAAAACAGCATCTCGAAATGACATGTTCTAGTCACAACAGGACAAACAGAAGAATGCTCCATGGCAGCTGGTAGCACAGCTCCTGCAGCAGCCCTGCCCAGCTGAAAAAGCTTGGCAAAGCAGCAAGCCCCGCTGTTCCCCCAAGTCGATGCCTAACGTGTGTCCTAATAGCTAATGCACCCAGATAAGGCACAATCAAATTAAAAGGATACAAAAAAGACAGGATTTGCATTGAAGAAGTGCAATGCAGCTACTCACTTTTGTCTTGTGGTTTGCACTGCAAACAAATATCATACCCCGCTCAGGGTCATCCAGATCATTCTGCAATAAACAAATAATTTCCAGAAACATGCATTACTTAATGTAAAATGCAGAGAGAAAAAAAGAAAAAAGCATAAGACACCTAGCATTTCTTATGAGTTGTGAATGCGAAAGCATAAATGTGTAATCGAACGCCGATCAGCACTCCTTGGAGACCTCGGCGACTAGAGGAGCAGAAGCGCCCGCAGCGCCGGCGGGAGTGTGGGGCGCGACAAGGCTGAAAGCAGAGCGTAGAACACGTGATACAGTGTTCCGGGCCTTCGGGGCGTGCCCGCACGAGCGCCACCACCTCCCATTTACCGGTGCTGAGAGGGCTTCTGTGTGGGGTGGCATTCCTTGGAACTATGAGTCGCAGCCATTTTAAAAGCCATTCCGCGAAGGGAATTTTTCTGCCATTTTTTCGCGGTTACGGCGCGGAGGGAATTTCTCTGCTGTTTTTCATAGTTACAGACAAAGTCTGCTCCGCTGCATGGGACAGTTAAAGGGATTGTTCGATCGAAACTGGAAGTACATAAGTTCTTGCGCTCGTTACGTCGAGGGAGCCTTCATGTAGACAAACGTCATTTTTATTTTGATATATGATCTCCCGTTATTAATTAAACGTTTCATGAGCCTATGTATGAAACTGCACCCCGAATTTCGCCAGTGTCAATGGCTGACATCCGTAGGTACTCCGTGACGTCACAAAACGCAAAGGTTTGTCGGATGGTCGGGAAAACAAGCGTTGGTCAAATGGATGTATTGTATTTTGTTTCGAATTATATAGTCTCCTAGGCTGTAGCCTACTGAAATACGGTTCTTTTAATGCAGTTCCCAAGCATGTGCAAAAAAAGTCACGCCTTTTAGCAGGAAATTACTTACAGACAGCCATAAGCTTCAGGCAAACGTATGCCGTTTTGCGCAAACACAACTGCGACGGCCACCGATCGAACTAGGGGTGCTTGCCAAGCAAAAGATGCAGATTTTGCCTCTGAAGCGGCACCTAGGTACACGAAGCGGCATCTGGGTACACATGTCGGCTGATCCACTGGATTGGTGATGAGGCTGCAAGTCGTTCCCTCGGAGGCGATGTTTGCGGGTCGAAGGCAAACGGCGAATCGTTCAAATGCATGTCGTCACTTGACTTGGACGAGCTTGGTGAATCGTAGTCATGCTCCATTTTCACACGCAGGTCAAACAGAATCGGGCTGCACGCGTGCTAAATACAACTTCTGGTATCGTTTCCAAATGGCCTAGCTGTTAGTTTCGGTTTCGCTGTATAATCAAATTGATTGACCCGATTTGGACGAAAAGTAAATGGACGTAGTTTAATATCGTTGGCACAGCATCACACCTCAGCTTACGAGCCTTCTGTCCGCATAGAGCTCAGCTTGTAGCTCTCTTCTGTGAGATGATTGCTGCATAAGCGGGATCTTTATCTTGACGGGAACCCAGTCCCTACACACGGCGACGATCCACTTCGCTCGTCACTGCACGACTCGCGGAAAAGTGTGGAACGTCATGCCTTCGCTCGCGCATGTGGTGCCCGGTGCTTGTGGCAGCCAACCGTGCAACAAAAATCTCACCCAACCATGAAACAAGCCGAGCACAACAACAAAAACGAAGCACGCTGAGGTGTTCACTCGCAGGCAAACGACGAGACAAACATGCTCGCTTTGTGTTTTGTGACGTCAGAGCTTCAATGTTGCCAACGAAAGCAGCGTTTACGCTAGAATGCGATTGGAACAGTATAAATTCAATTACTCTCACGCAGAGGAGCACATGAAAGTCAGATATTGCACGTACGATGCGTCTCGAGGCAACAACAATAACATTCAATTGTTTTCTCAAATACAAAATTGGACTGGACAATCCCTTTAATGCTTTCGCATTAAAATCTCCAGAGATGAAAAGAAAAAATTTGCCACCTGCACTGACTTGTTATTTGAGACTGAAAACATCCCCATGACATGCAGCAAGAGAAGTAGAGACTGCAACCTTTCCTATCACTTTGCAGGCAAAATGAAGATGGCCTATTCTTTTAGCGACAAGGTTTCGCACTAATTATTTCAGTTACCAGGACCTGTTTTCATAATAACCATGTATTAAACCCCCCCCCCCCCCCCCCCCGCCCCCCTATAGATGGAAATGTTAGAATAAAGAGTGGAATTTTGGAGCAGTCATGGCATGCCTCTAGCACTAAGACAAAACTTTAAGGATGAGACTAGTACTCGGGGAACCCACGTGCTTGGGAACCACAAAAACTTCAACTTTCATCACTTTCCCACTTTTCTCCTTGCACCTTACATCTCATTAAATAGTTGCTCCATCCTTCCTTCAAGGGGAGGTGCAGGTTGAAAAATCTAGTTTATTTGGGAAATTGACGATTTTTTGTTTTTGCTCGCTTTATTATCCTCAAACATCCTACTTTTTACAAGTAATGAAATCAAAACAATATCCACAGCCAAGTTTAAAAAAAAAAACATGCCTTGCTGACTCATGGTGCTCGAAAAATCACAAATTTACACAAATGTCCGCCATCTTCGAGTGGCTGTCGCTTGGAGCAGCAGCACTCTCTATACACCTCCGATTTGCAATACACAACACTAAAAAGCAAGAATTTCGCGTATGGAACCACCAAAGCAGGTGCAAGTCTCAAGAAAGGCGACAAAAACGCAAGCGGAGAATGCCAGCGGAGGAACGTTTGCCGCGGCCAGCCAAGCCTAACCACGGCAATGGTGACCGTTTTGACGCAATTGATGCTCCAATCACGTTTGAGCGCACTACGGAGAAAAAGATTGTGTCCTTCAAAAGTACATACAGAGCACGGGACTATGGCTCTGCGAGTTCAGTGATGTGCGGCAATGTGAATGGCGCGAACTGCCCCGCTTGTCGAGAGTGCAGATTCTCTACGCGTTCGGGAGTCTGCTGGAAAACGCGAGGGATTTTCATCGTCCCTGAAACTACACTGAAAAGGGCAAGTGCCCCGAGTGGGTTTTTTCAAAGTTTTCAAGAAAATGTGAAACTTCAGACGCTGACATATAAGTGCAAAGCGAAGCTACGACGGGGGGGAGATCGCACGAATTTTGCCGTCAACTTGAAAGCCATTAACTTCTGTGCTTTTCCTTGTGAAGACAGAAATGACGACGTGGAAGGAACAGCTAATGTAGCTGATGTCTGACGGCACACGGTGCAAGGGCCAGAAAAGTGACGGCATACGGTGCGAGACGGGTTTATTGACTTTGAATGTTCCACAAACACCCTACTTATGTTCTGGCCCCATTTCATTCAATTGCAGGCAATAATTGTTCAGCACACATCTCTTGAACTTTCATATACATTTTCCTGGATTTGCAACTTTGGCTTGTCTTTACAGTTTGTGCAATCAGTTTGTCATACTTAGAGTCTTCCAATCATAATTTTGTTTTTAGGTATTATATTGAGGATATGTGGAATGTTGATATATATTTGTAATAGCAATATCTTAATATTTTTACATATTTGAACTAAATTTTAAAGGCCTTCTAAAAAGAAGGTTTTATGACATCTCTATTAAGGGGGGACAATGGCTAGAGATTTAATTTCTGAACTACTCAAGTGATTGGAACAAAATTTGCTGGGGAAATTTAACATCAGATGTATGTGTACCGTAAAATACCGAGGAAGCACCCATACCCGTACAAGCGCCCACTATTAACATTTTCGAAATTGGAAAATTTGGGCAAGTACACATCAAGTGCCCATATTCTCAGAAGCGCCGGCGTTCCCGGCAGCCGCCGCGGCAAGCACCCGGCCGAAGGTTGCTGCGGCGGACCGGGCCCGGAGACCAATTCCCGTAGAATTGGGTCACCGAGGTCACTCCGGGCACTTTGTCCTTCACTTTACTGCAGCATTGTGTGGTCCGCACAATCCGGGGGTAGCAACGACAGGACCAATAGGAGTGTAGATAACAGCCAGTTCGTCCCAGCATTTTGTAAAATACATCTTGATAAATGCTTCGTGCTTCCCGATTGCCATTGGTCACTCAGTTGGCAAGCAACCAGCACAGGATGCACTCCTACACAGTCTCCAAAAAAATTGAAGTCGTCGACTGGCATCGGGCGTCGGGAGGCCCCAATGTCAGCCGCACCTCTCGTCATTTCAAGATCGACAGGAAGCGAATACGTGAGTGGGACTCTAAGTACGAAACCCTGAAGCAAATTAACTACAGCAAACAGAAGATGAAGAGGAAATTCACGAATGGGGCGCCCGTCTTCAGTGAGGAGGTGGATGACGCACTGTTTGAATACTTTCAAAGGGAGCGAGATGTCGGCCGGGCCGTCAGAAAACGGCTCCTGGCAGACGAGGCACTTAGGATAGCTGCGAGTCTAAATCCTGGCAACTTCAAAGCGTCAACACAGTATATCAAGCGATAAATGCAGTGATTTGCGGTGACTATGCGTACGGCGACCAACGACAGCCAGAAGGCCCCTGCCGACTGCGGCGAAGCTGTTACTGCATTCCGCTCTGCAATCGCTACTTTGCGAGCACGGCACGACTACACGCCATTCAACATCTGCAATATGGACCAGACCATGGTCAGAATGGACAACCCAGCGACCCGCACCAATAATGTTGCTGGTGAAAACAGCAACCGGATCGCCAACACCGGCTGCGCCCGTCGAGGCTTCACCGTCACACTGGCAGCTCGTGCGTCGGGGGCGAAACTTCCGGCATTTGTCGTACTCAAGGAACCCACAGGGAGGATCCCTGCCCGTGCATTCATGGCGCTCCGCATACCAAGTAAGTTTGGCGCATTTCCTAACAAGTTCTGCTTCGTTTCGTTGACTGTGACGCGGTCCCTTCAAAAGATGAAAGCATGGAAAGAGCAACAAGTTTGTAAAGTTTTACGCCAATGATATTCGAGATTCGGGACCACCGTAACTGCGTTCTGCTTCGCTTCGTTACGACTAAGACGCAGTTGACGCACTTCCCGACAAAATACGAAAGCCTGCCGAGAGTCACGAGAGACGAAAGTTTGT